AGAGTGATTATGTTACAAAAGTGCTTTGAGATGTTAAATAAAACGTTAAGGGTAAGAAAATCGCTAATAAATTAAAAATTAATACATCGACCATATCACAGTTATTGTCTTCAGGAAAATGATTTAAAATGAGCTTGAAATGGTACATCCTGAGATACTCGCTCGAAGAACAAAAAGCTCCTTGCTTAAGGTACCTTTCAATCGCCTTTTGTCTTACATAATCGGATATGGAACTGTGTATCACGGGTTGTACTTTATAATGATTAATAAGACTTCTCTGAATAGTATGACTTGCAACATAACACCGCACGCTTCGTAAAGAAACACTAGTAAGCTATTGTTTGGGAATGTGCATGAATGTACGCCGAGTTTACAAAATTATAGTCCTTTTCCAAAAACATCATTTCCTAAAACCATCTTTATTCATAATTGAGAGAAGTTTCATTAATGAAAATAACTCAATTACCACAGGAGTCATCGTATCAAATTGTTTAATATGATATTTTAACAATTTGGCAAACTGCAATGTTCATACAATGCTCATTAGTAATAATAAAGTTTCTCCAAAATTTTACTTGTTAAAATCTAGAACATTTCTTAATGAAATTATCAAAAACATTATTTGAGCTTTACTTGATCAAATTTGAAAGAGCAAAGCTCGATATTTTTTAAAGATCTATACATGAATAACGCATTGAGATTCGTTGTTTTTATGGTTTGTTTGAAACGCATTATGTAGAAAGATGACTCCTGTGGTAGTTGCAGTCATTTGTATTTAAAGATATTTCATGAAGGTCGAAAGAAGAGATACTAGCAATAATGATGAAGCAATGAAGATAGAGGTAGCTCCACAACCAGCTGGTGTCATTTTCCTGTAATATTCCAAGTAGATGGATGCAGTTCCTGTACCAACACAAGCTAGGAAGTCTTCATCATGTTCAGTACATTCCTTCGTTATCTGTCGTCGACTGAAATGAACAAATAATACAACAATGTTTGTGCAATACTACAATTTCTATCTATATAAAACGAAAAGTAATATTTCATTAATATGTAACCAACTTTATTCCCTGTCAACAGGTAAAACGAATATCAAATACAAACCGACAGGGAATAAAAGAAATATTTACGAAAGAAGTGATTTCGACTATACCCAGAATCCAGACCCATTATCTCAATTTCTCAATTAAGTTTTTGTTCCACCCTAGGCCTGTACATTTGTAAGAATCAAACCCTTCCTTCCCCGAAATCAAATTTGCGCTATCTAATGTAACATCATCTATCTAAGAAAGTATCACACAAATTATTTTCAGAATAATTCTCAATGTGCAAACAAAAGGTTAAGGGTGTAACTATATGTGTGGTTCTGATCAGCAAAGATTTCGCATTAATGGTATCTTGATGTCCACTATTTTATACTTACGCGCAGAAATGATCACGATAATCTGAAAAGGGTTCACTTCGGTCAGGTGTGGCACCATCAGTTCTCTTTTCACGAGCTTCTCTATTTCTTATACAATCTGTGACAGAGTCTCCAATACAGTTCTGCACATGCATGATGGCTGTGAATTAAAATAATTATTACATTATTCTTTAAAAAAGGAATTGATCAACATTACCTTGTCCACTGTCCAGAATATAAGCTTAGTTTGGTGCAAAATCAAATTTTTCTTTATGGAAAAATGAGTTTGAAAGTTGTATTTGCTACTCTTTTTCAAATTATTTCATCAATAGGAAAGGGGAAGGGGGTATTCGTCTCGCTAACCAAGAGGTTTTGAATTCGATTTAAGTATAGGCTCAAGGTTTTGTCCCCTTCCAATGCCCCCTCTCTTATATTAGTAATGTAGGATGGAGGGCTCTAATTTAGTTGCATCTCTAGGTGACAGAAAGGGAATATAAAGATAGTCATGCAGACGTATTTGATAAATATACTCAGAGCTTTACGTTTGACTCCCTATAAAGGTGTGAAATAAGGATATTGTATTCAGATTGACTTACGTCCAATATTGTCACAAGCATAGGTTATGGCATCTTTATAGGCAGCCTCTTTTACGACTAATGTTTTGTAATCATTATCACCACAATGTCGATAGGAATTGAGTACACATGATGCTGCTGTCTTAAAGTCATTTAGTCTTGAAGAACTGAAATGAAAAATAAACATATCTGTACCAATAATTAGGTTAAGGCATCAGGTAATTTCTTATTATGGAACCTTTCACAATATCAGGATTATATTTCTTATAGAACCATTATTAGTTTTGTGGATGGATTAAAAAGTTTAAGCTTTTCAAATTCCATATAGCTGTTTTTTTTAGATCCTCTACAGAGATATTTTGAGAACCAGCCCACAAAGATAACGAATACGGTCAGTTTTGTACTTTAAAGATACACATAAAATAGCATCCACGTTGACCATGTTCGTTCGTTGGCAACAGTATATTTGACTATTGCGTTTGTTGCGTTATTGGAAAAATCGTCACCACATTTTAAAAGAGAAATATACACACAAGCTGATAGTTTTCAAACGCCGGAAGTCACAGATGATAGTCAGGAAATACGCAAGTCTCCTCGTTTAACCATCCAATCCAGGACCGAACTAACTATGTCACTCAATTCCACTGTCATTGAAAACAATTTAATTCTTCTGATCTATCGCCTGCTAATTAGAAAAAGGTTCCAGTAATTCCATTCTCTTAATCTTATATTTGTAAATTCGTTCTAATTTAATCTTGATTCCATTTCAAGTGAATTAAGATCAATCGAAAAGTAATATAAATACGATTACCTGCAGATAACGGTCAGATTTAAAGAATATGTTGGTGTCAAGATATTGCTCGTGCTGATAGAAGGAACGTCAGCTATAGGAGTATCAATGTTACATTGACTAACATTACCAGATACACTTGGACAGTTATCAGTATAAATCTGACCATTCACTACACAACCTGAAATCACAAAAGAAGTTAAAAAAGTTATTGCTTTGCAAAAGAATTGTTTAGCCTACTTCAACTGAAAAAACAAGGCATCAACCCTGTTTATAACTTATTTTCATTGAATTGCAGAGAAAGTGGCCCTCTGATCTTAATTCTGAAAATGGTATGAATAGCTTGTAGCTTTATGCAATCTGTAAAGCAAACATTAATGTTTAGAATATTCCTTAGAGATAATTATTTCATAAAGTTAAATAGAAATACTGTTATATCATCTTTGTTCGAATCAAAGAACAACTTTGTGTTACAGAATTGGACTTGAAAGTACCCTAGGGACGGTAATCAATAATTCAATCTAGCTTATATCATTAAAAATTCAAGTATAGATCTTGAATGTGACAACCAGGATCACGGTATTTTAAGATTTATCATCATTTCGCGGAAACTGCCTAATTGAATCAATAAGGTAGTTCACTAGCACATCGGTGTCCGCTTTTTCAAAACCGTTATTTAAGAACGTAACCCTGCCAATATGGCAGTTCGAAACTTTATAGTAAAGGGATTCGTTTGTTAACCATGAAAAACAAGACTAAGGTTTATTTAGATAGATAAATCCAGTTCTTCAATGAAAGCCCACTTGTACGGCCACTAGCATAAAACTTTTTGTCAAAAAGGGAGGATTTTGTTCTCCTAGAACTGGCCAAAGCAATTGGAGATTCGAAAATCCAAGGTAAATCCAATTGTACAGTGAAAGTTCACTCGTGTGATTTATTACATTTCGCATACCTCATCCATTCCTCATGTCACAAACACACAAAGTATGAACAACTTTCTTCTTGGATAATATTATAAAATCACTTTTCTCACTCTACCTCGACCATTCAAATCTTACACTTTGAATTATCTTAAAGGGAGTGGTTATTTTATTTAAATACTTTGAATAAACTAAAGGGGTGTTCATAATCTTTTGAATCATACAACGTACATATCTAAATTCTTTTAAAGTTTACTTTCAAATTATTTCACATACATCTACTTTATTAATTTGTGTTTGCTTTTTTTTTCTTCTATAAAAATCATAAAAATCTGTTCTTTTCTCAAGGTGCGAATTTGCAAAATTGAACTCTCCTCCGTGAAGTACAGCAATCTTCAAACGTTCTTAAAATGCAGATTTAAAATTCTCTTTGAAAAGTATAGAAAAAAGGAACTCATACTTTTAATAGGCAAATTTGAATTCTTTTCGCACCGTTCAAGTACAAAACGTACAGAAAAATCAAAGTTTTCTAAAAATTCTTCTCTCAATCTTCAATTGTCAACTTCAATTATTTTACTTGTATTCAGAAAAAAGACTAGTAAAGCTTCATTGGAGCCTATCTAATAACATACTCTTGTTTTCTATAAAATATTGTTAATAAACAAATTGTGTTTAGTTGCTTCTTTGTATAAAATATCCTGATTTATAGTAAAACTCTATGTCTGTCTAGGGTTGTTACACCAATATGTCGATCTCTAGATATTCAGTTAGATTCAAATTAACATTTTCATATTCGAATTTTAAAGGTTTTAATAAAAAATAAATTCCCTGAATTACGTGAAATAATTTTCATCAAGGTTATATTTTTCTATTTCACATTTCCTTAATTTTTTTTATTCAAAATTAAACAAATTATCATTTCGATGAACATTCAAGGTCTTTAGTCAAATACAATAAAAAATAATAAAATCTCGTATGTCAGACACCGTAAGTTTTTTTTTTTTAAAAAAAAGAACATAATTTACGATATTTCTTATGCACTAATTACTTAAAAAATATCTCGAAGTATATATCTTTACTTTAAAGAAACAATTCGAGCATTTTTTCTTTTAACTATTTGCTAAAATAAAAATTCGTTGCTCGAAAATATTATGTAACTTTTTCCACTTTAAAAACATAAAAAAATATCTCACCTGCAAACGCTAAAGCGATAAATATCTTAAACTGGGTAAACATTTTGATAAATTGGTTACAAAAAAATTAGAAGTTGAAAATTCAGGAAAATGTTACTATCCCAGAGAAAGACTGCTACTCGCTAGGTTGTTCAGACTGATACTGAGCTAAAGCTTGCTGTACAGCGTAGATAAAACCTTACACTCCCTATTTTATTCCTTGACCAATAGTTACAATGTATAATTCAAAACAGCAACAATCACCATAGTAACACGTTTATGACCAACTTCTTGTCTCTTGAGAACAGCCATTATTTATTAGTAGCTGATAATAATATTTAATAGTATCTATCGTGTTTGTTTATATTAATTTACATTTCAAAACGAAATCTTTTCTTTCTTCACCAAGGGGCGGGTTGAAACAGAGATCCGATACTATTTAAAAATAATTCATGAAACGAATGTTGGCCAGCGTTCAGTTTATAAAATAGTACATAATGAAGATGTTCTGCCTATTCAAAATCGATTGGTAGCCTAAACAACAACAAAACACTTCGAATCGAATCCATGCCGAACTAAACTGTTTTGATGATTTGAAATAATTTTTTGCATCAAAATAAGAACAATTGCTTGTCGTTCTGAAAAATGATGCGCATTGCAGTAAAGCCATGAGGAGTATTTCCGTTTTTTTTTTTTTTTTTCTAATTTTTTTTTGGCTTTATTACATCTTAACTCGTCAGGGATAATCTGATTCGCTGTCAAGAGCTTTGGCATCCATTCCCATCCCGATGGATAAAATTCTCATGACAGATAGCCCAGGTAATGTTTCCGGGAATATTTCTAGACCTAGACCTTCGTGGACGTGGTTTATTGTTAGGGCTCTGTCTTGCTTGAATTCCGCAGCCCACTTAATTGGAATTAGTAATAGTATCAGTTGTAGGTACTTGGTGACCATTTATGGCAATTTTTTGTCCATTCTAGTAATTTCAATGGTAAGTTGCAGTTCTTATGTCTACGATTCATTTAATGGTAGTACTTGTTTTTTTTTTTCAATCCGATTGATATTTCCAGCGTAAGTTACAACTTTCTAGCCAGCCCGTACATATTTAGTAATATAAGGAGTTTGGAAGCGCTTTTGGACTTTTTATATAATCCATTCGCGTTGCTTCAAGTGATAATTTAAATGATTAAATTTAATCACCAACAGTTTCTGGGTGTTGTAATAAGTAAAACGCCCACTCACTAGATACATGTCTCGGTTTTCTAGAATTCCACCAACATACCTGAACAGCTAGGCTTAAATAGTGCAACGAAATACTGTTCCTGTGTCAACTACTGCTAAATTATGTCTCTACCTAGTATTTCTGGCTTATAAATAGTATTAACATCAGCTTTTTAAAAAGGACTTCGCGCGCCATTGTTTAGATTTCTAGCCTCCATCAGAAGAAGAGAATTAGTTAATCACAGATAAGAGATGCTCTCAACAATTTCAACCTATTCTGAAATCTTGCCCGTCACCGACATTTTTATTGAAATAGAAAACTTACTGGCTAAGCAAATAATCTAGTTGAAGCATTGTAGTTTATTAAGCTAATCAATTAATCTTGGTGAAGCGGATAAGGCTTAGTGAAACCGGTATCTGTGCACATTGTGTGTATGATGATGCTGTTGCTATTATATTTACAAAGAATCCAGGTCAATTGACTATAAATTGTCGTGATGTCCTAACACGGAATTTGAATCCATAAAGTCGAACTATATCATTCATTAAAGATGACTATTGATTACTTGGTCTTAAAAATATTTCCACTATTATACGCATCATGTACTGTCTTATATTTGTTATTTTTTGTTTACACCGTCACCCAAGAGACGCATCTAAGAACAGACGTACGTAAGAACGTAACAAGTTTTAAATCTTCTTATTAGATTTTAAAAAACTAAGAGATTGGAAAGACAACTCTTTTAATATACATGTATTGCTTTACACATTTGTTTAATTACGTGACTGATATGTATCATAAGTCCTTTCATTGCGCTTGAATAATTAATTCAATTGATCCAACGGAACCAGATGGAAATACAAATACCTCATTGAACGATGAACATCTCCTGTGTCTAGGTTCTGAATCTCGTATTAATATATCCCTGGCGTTTTATTGTGTATGCCACAAATTATAATTGGACAATATAGCATGAACTAAAAGAGCACTTTATTAATTCCTTTGACGCAGATATTGCTCATGAAAGAAGTGGGATTGTCTAGAAACCAAGATCATAAACCAAGTTATAAAGTCAGTTAAGGTTTGAATGGATATGAATCAACCATTGATTCCGTTACAGCAAAACTCCTTTTAAATGCCAAAGAATCATCCCTACCTGTGATTTTCATCAGGAGTTCAAGTGTGCAGTAGATAAAAAAATGAGGATTATTTTAACTGTTCGACAAGATCGACGAAGTATTTCTTCTAACCTTTTTACCTTGATAGGTATAATTACATTGTCATTTAACTTAGGTGGTGAGCTTACAGTACTTGATTATTGCGGTTAAGGAATGGTGACCGACCCAAACCACCTAGAATTATGTGAAAAATATACAAAAGGTTGAAAAGTTGACATATTTGTTCCAATGGCAGAGTAACATCAGATATTTCCCCGAAAAATTTGACACATTCCAAACATATTTGGTTCGAAAATCTTAAGAACTCAAACCTTGAACCTATTGTTTTTAATCACCATTTTAAATAACAGTGTGTTATGTTGCTAGTGAACCGAATATTTTTTGAATTGTTATTTGTTAGAATACCCTAGATATACGAGACGTCATGTATAGTTGAATTAAAACTAGAACCAATTGTTCCACAAATACTTTTATTTTTCTTAAATAGCCATAAACCGAATCAACAAATAAGAGAAATTTAATACCTTCAGAACAAGAATCCCCTATAAATCTATCTATCTATCTATCTATCTATCAGTTGCCATCAGATGCCAACCGTTGCTCGTGGTGCACTTTCTATCGAAAATTGGTTTGGCGCATCCCAGGTCATCCAGTTGATCCGAGTTTCTAGGAGTGCGTCCATTTTTCTGGGAGTTACGTTGATTAACAGCGGCGATTGAACCAACCTTAGTGCTGGGTTGTTTATTCATTATTACCATGATCATATGCTCAATCTTACTATCAGTCGTCCTGATTATTGGGTCATATCCTTAAAAGTTAAAAAAAAGTTACCTTGACTTCATTTTATTACAGTTTGCATTTAGCGTAAAATATTGACAATACTGGGTGGACGGATCTTACACATTCATAAAATTGTCTATTTTATATGATGTTAATTACGTTATGATGTTCAGTAGTAAAAGTATTCTATAAATGATTTATAAATCTATAAATCCGCCATTGTTGACCATTGTTTACCTGGTTACTACGGAGGAAACTGACCTAAATAGATAAATTCTGCCAAAGGACAAAGTACTTATCTGATGAGGGATTTGTAAGACCAAATTTAACTGCATCTCACTCATAATTTACACAATACCGTCCTATATTTAGTTCCATATTGGGATAAACAGAATTTGCCATGGGTGTATCTGATCTACATCACTGACGGAAGGGGAAACATGGCCGAGTAATCCGATGGTAACATCTCAGCTAATGTCAGGAAGTTTGAGAAATCCGAAAGTACCATCTCGGCATATGTCATGATCGACAGCGAGACCTAAATGTTATTGAACATGAAGATGTTACCTTGAGTTACCTATTAATTTGTTTCTCTTAGCTTTTCTCTTATATTGGAGTATTGTAAGTGGTTATTATCACTTTGTTGGTTTTATAGCTTGATAAGGCATTTTGTCAACGCTTCGTAGAACAAAGGTTTATTTCAATTTAAAAGGGCGTGGTTCACAATCTTTTTGCTTGCCCAGTCAAGCTCATTGTTGTTTGGCAGACTACTGTGGAATGTTTTATCAATTTTAAACCTGTTCTTAAATTAACCTGTTATTATATTTCCAATCTCATTCAATGGTCTTTATCAAACAATAAGTATATTTTAAGGTATGAGAAAATTGAGTAGAATTTATTCCCGTGACTGTTAAGGATTGTACAAGGCCAGTGCGATAACGATATTTGTAAAACTATTAAAATATAGAATATAGAAGATATTACTCTAAATACTAACACTATTAAATGTATCTTGTTTGATCTGAAACAGTAGTCTCCTAATTTATGCTAAAAATTCATACCACACTGTTCTCAATTGATGGAAAACCACCACATTGATTTTCAAGATGGCGTAATATCAAACTTGTTGGGACATGATATATTACTTATTATATTTTACATGATATTTAATAAACAAAGACAGTGTACCATATCCACATCCACTTGGATAAATCTACAAACTTTCAGGCTTGCTTAAAATGATGTATGAAACTCGCCGTTCGTTCTCCATAGTTTTGATCACGAGAATTTCTATCCTCGATCAAATGAAGACTGTTGGATTAAAAGCTAACCTTTGTGATGGACCTGATCGCAAAAATATTTGGCTGAATTAGGAAAATTATCATAGGCGTTGATTCAATCATTCTTCACATTTTTAAAATCTAGTGGACAGATTAAGGAATCACTGAAAAAAAAAAGTCAAGGTTCGCAATGACATTATATATAACATTTTCAAATGGTGCGTGTATGATGATACTAAGAGGTATTGGGAAAGTAATTTTTAGCTATCAGATAATTAGAAAACTCCAAGCTAACCCAGCCCAGTGTAACAGAATGTACCCAATCTCTTGTTAGCTACAGAGACAACTTCGAACAAATTCGATTGTCACCTGACAACCAAATCAATTCTTACAGAATAAAACAATACTCCACTAGACGTGACGCACATTATACTTTGTTTTCATTACTATGGCAATGATACATGTTTGTTTTTGTGTTCGTGATTATTCAAAATCAATCAATAATTCGCTGATTGATAACCTTAGCCAATCAGTAAGAAGTAGAGTAGAGTATATCGGGTTTAAAAGGAAATGTCTCCTTACAAATGTCGCGTTCGAATCCAGCATAGGTCTAGATAATAACTTATTTTCTAACCTGTTTCCCTTAAGAGTTTGACATGGAAATGTACATCAAAGATCTCTTCATCGGAAAGAGTAGAAAAAATTCTCTTCCATTGCACACAATCAGTTGCAAAAAATGATTTGTTTCTTTGAATGTACGCCCCTCCTACATTTCAATGCATTTACCCCAATTCAGTCTATACTCTGAATGTCGAAGAGTGTCATGTGTTACGGGACCGAATATCAGATTTCAATTCTTGAGAAAATTCCTCTACAGTTTGTCATATTTTAACTTCGGGTGGAAAACATTTCATTTTGGAAATATATCTAACCAAAATGCACACATCTAAAAAGTGTAAATAGTGTTTTATTTATAAATATTTCAATTGAATAAGAGTGTGCTAGGCTGTTGAAACCAGTAATACATGGAAATAGAGCCTAGACCTATGACCAAACAAACGAAAATTACATAACTGTATTTACCAATACAACTAAAGGCTGATTTTCAGTATTGGTCCAGAATATATCTAGACTAACATATTAAAAGTCCTCTTAAATACTCACTGAGCGTTTATAACAATTGGACGAAGACAACGTCCAAAATTGCCCGTATTTCCTGAACTTCTTCACTAACTAAATAACTCATATACCATATATAAATGATTATGTTTTTTCACCATTAGAACTCAAAATCTAGTGAAATCATTTTTGATGATAACATACTAACAACAACAACAACGGCACAGACGCCGACCTACTAGTTATGATAGCTGCATGGGGAAGCAAATCCATATGAACTCATCTGATGTTTCTTGCTTTGACAGGATGTGATAATCTCTGCGGCACCGTTAACTTTTTGTTTTTAAATCATTCCATTAGTTTTTCTTGATCTCTTTGATGCCAAGTGTATGGTGTATCATCTGATACACTATCATTTTCCGTGGAATAAGAGGCTCTCAATAATTGTTTTAAGATTAGTAGAGAAAGTCCTTCGTCAGCTAGAAGGTCCAGAGTTTGTCGTTTGGACCCTGAAGCTACCCAATTCCTGTAAGAATGACATCCTCTGGGACACCTTAACCACATTCACAATAACTTTCAGGTTATTTTGACCGACGTTTGGTGGTTGAATAACTCGGAACATCCTTGCCATACTTCAAAAACAATGATTTTCTAACAGGAAATTCTTTCCAAGGTCAAAAACCTTATGACAGCTCAATACTCCGCTATTTCATTTTCTGGATTCATTTGACCTAGGTTGGTTAGCTATTGTCCTTTCAATGTTTGAAATGTACTAGAAATACAATATGCTACAATACAATATATGGTTACCTATATCCGATCATTATTAGTTAGGCAGGCCTAAAACTTTTGACCAAAACCATCTTGTAGTTTGGATGGGGGAAATGATGGAAAGACGACAGATCCTTCCGCAATAAAAGGAAAAGATACCTTGATGGTTGACGATCCAGTCTTTCAATGCAATGTGTACTCTTTTTTCTTTTTAGTTAATATATTGAAAATTGCCATTTAAAAAATGACCATTATAAAGAGCGCCGTATTGTGAAATCTTCCTATAGAGAGCAACACACATATTGATTCTATGGTGTAGTTATTCTGTTGGCAAGTGCGGAAGAGGCACACTACATACTTTATCGTTATTATATGACTTTTACCATATTACTATTAAGTTATTCAGATTTGCTTTACGTTGGTGATTCAAGCACATATGGCTAGTGATTATTGATTTTTTCAAACTTTATTTGTAAATGAAATGTAAGTGCGGTGTAACTCTAAAAATTCTTTGCACAACCATGATATATCACGGCAGTGTCTAGAATCAAAGAAAATGCAAAACTTAGAATCAATGCTTGCATCGTGCATGGTGTCACATTCATTCAGTTTAACGTTAAAACCAATAAGAACGCACAGGGATGGTTTTCATATCTGAATCAATAACTTACTTGATTGTGCAATGTTTTCTTTGTACAATGTATTATTAATAGGACTGGTTCTTAGAGACAAGCTATTTACAGATATTGTGTCGCAAACTTCAATTTAAAAACTTATTTCCTTTGTAAACATCAGGCTTTCAGTCGGGTGGTGGGGGGGGGGGGGGGGGGTG